GAGAGAGAGAGAGAGAGAGAGAGAGAGAGAGAGAGAGAGAGAGAGCGTTTGCTGTAAGCATTGATTTCGAAGATGGATTTATTGTTTTTTGATACATGCGAGTATAGGAAGCGCGTCAGTGAAATGGGTAACGAGACTCTTAAACAAGAAGATCGTGACGTGACGAAATTATTAACCAGATACCCGGGAGGAATAGCTGGCGGACTTCTACTCGCTCAGATCACCGGAGGGCTCAGCCTGATATACAGTGGCATCTCTGGCCGCAAATACCACATCGCTTATCAGAAGATGAAGGTAGTTGTCGCTGAGATGAGACAGCGCGGACTTAAACCTTGTGACATTACGCTTGCAGATTTGATCGTGGGTGCCGCTGTTGGAGCCTTTCAGGTAACCGCAGAGATTGTTATTAACGATGAGGCTTCAGCCGATAGCAATGATTAACGATGATGATTCAGAATAGCTGATTTTGGGACAATTTGCAGTCGAGGAGGGGAAAAAAAGGAGGAAAGTTGAAAATTCCCTCCGGGACAAAACCTTTGGTTTTGGTTGGTGGGGGTTTGGGGGGGGGGAGATTTATGAATTTTCGCATTAGAAAGAAAAAAAAAAGCTGTATCAGGAGCAAATTTCGGTCTAGGGACAGGTAGAATACTACAATGACCCTGGTTGACATTTGTGTGGAACGCCGTGGTGTTAGGGTGAGAGAGAGAGAGAGAGGACCTCACTCCACTTCTCTGGAAATGTGAAAGACGAGAGTGAATCTTCCGCGTACACCGACGTGAATTTTGGGTTTTGTGCATGCCGAGAGGACTGGGGGGACGCCCGCCCAGACACAGCAAAGAGGCGTCTAGTCACGACGGCTGAGTAGATGACGGGGTGAAAAGTGACGACAATGAGAGGGAGGGAGGGAGGCAGGGGAGGAGGAACACATGAGAGGCATGCATCTTCATTCTATTATGCTGGGAGGTATGGTCATTCATTCATTCATTCTGCCTGTGAGCCGTGCGGGAAGCGCTGTCGGAGCTTCTTGTGCACGATGGTCTGCAGGTGCCCCAAGCGGGGGAGGCTGTTGGAGCCTCTTGTGTACGAAGGTCTCCAGGTGCCCGAAGAGGAAGAGGGCTAAAAGGAGGAAGATGCAGCCATAGCCACTTGTTGTTTGTAGGAGTCTAGGAGATAGAAGATGGCAGCCATAGCTGCCTGTAGGTTAGCGTTAGGGAGTGTGTGTCAGTGTGTTGTGTGAATGTGTGACACTGTGCGACATGCAGGGAGATCCAGAGTGAGTGCCGGTGTGGGAATGAGTTGTTGGT